AGGCACAGCAGTCCAGGGACAAGGACTAGAAGGCAGGAGGGGACAGGAAAGCTGGTGATAGGGAACCCAAGGTTGAGAAAAGACAGTGCTGACATGTCGTGGGGTTGTTAACCATTGTCATAGGGCAATATGTGTACTGTGTAATGAGAAATAATTCTGTTCTGTAAACCTTCATTTAAAGTACAAAAAAAAAAGAATTATCTATGTGAGATCAAATTGACAACAGCAACTCAAAAGGTTTGATGGGAAGCCTAGGGGGCAGTGAGGTGAAGATAATGATGATGGAATAATTTGGAAAAGGATAGTGAGAATAGCAGCACAACTGGAAGAAAGTAATAGATGTCACTGAATTGCACATGCAGAAATTTTTGAAATGGTGTGTCTTTGGCTATGTATATTTTCACCAAAAACGTAAAAAGGCCCTCCTAGGTCGAGAAGGGAGAATGTTGACATGTTGTAGGTTTGTTAACCTATGTCATAAAACAATATGCGTACTGACCGTGTAATGAGAAACTATTTGTTCTGTCAACCTTCACCTAAAGTAAAATAAAAAAAAAATTAAAAAAAACAAAGAGTGGGGAAGAACCACCTATTCTACAAAACATTTTTATTCTCCCAGGTGAGTTGGGAAGAAGTCTTAAGGACAAGGTTCCCTTGAAGTAATAAAGCAGTTTTGAAGCATTAAAAAAAAAAGAAAGCCCAAAGGCAAAAGGTTAACTTTCCAAGGAAGAAAAGAGGGAGAGAGAGAAAGAGAATGAATACTATTGCAGAGGAATATTGTTGAATACTATTGCTGGCCAAACAGAAGCTGGAAAGAAGCTTATTACATTATAAAGTTGACAGGAATCTATGGGTATGAGATGGGAAAGCCTGGGAAATCAAGGAGAGAGTAGGTAGACTAGACAGATAACCACTACCATGAAGCATCATTAGTGGAACTGGAAGGGAACTCAAGGGACTCAAGCAGAGTGTTCCAGAAAGAGAATGGGCACAAGATCAATCAACCAGGGAAAAGCTGGGAGAACTAAAGAAATCACCGACCCACTGACACAGAAATAGACCCACTAGTTTTTAAAAAAAAAAAAAGCCAATCTGAATTATCTAAGAGAGAAACTCTCTAAAAGTTGTGAAGAGAGTGGAAAAGTTATTAAACCAAAACAGTTGCCATTGAGTCCGTTCCAACTCATGGCAACCCTATGTGTGTCAGAGTAAAACTGTGTTCCATAAGATTTTCATGTCTGTGATCTTTCAGAAGCAGATCACCAGCCCTTTCTTCCAAGGTGCCTCTGGGTGAGTCTGAATCACTAACATTTTGGTTAGTAGCCGAGTGCTTAACCATTTGTGCCACCCTCGGACTCAGAGAGGTTATTACCACCAAGTAAAATCACTGGAGCTTTCCAGGGGCCTTCACAAAAGAAAAGTCTTCAAAGGCCAGATGTTGTTGTTGTTAGCTGTCATCAAGTCAGTTCCAACTCACAGCGACACTATGTACAATGAAACACTGCCCAGTCCTGCGCCATCCTCACAATCATTGCTATGTTTGAGCCCATTGCTGCAGCCACTGTGTCAATCCATCCTGTTGAGGGTCTTCCTCTTTTTCGCTGACCCTCCACCAAGCATGATGTCCTTCTCCAGGGACCGGTCTCTCCTGGTAACATGTCCAAAGTACATGAGATGAAGTCTCTCCATCCTTGCTTCTAAGGAGCATTCTGGCTGTACTTCTTCCAAGACAGATTTGTTGGTTCTTCTGGCAGTCCACGGTATATTCAATATTCTTTGCCAACACCACAATTCAAAGGGCAGAAAGGATCCTTCAATTGTGTCAGAGGTTCTGCCACCTGAGCTGTTAAATAAACAATAACAAGAGGACTTCCACAAAAGGACAAAGAAGTCTGAGGCAGGCCTTCTACCAATGCCCTAAGAGGCAAAAAGGGTTTTCTCTCAATCCAATGGTAAGCTATAGTCTCAGGTAGCAGGACAGAGTTGTGAAGTCAGCCTCAGAGAGGGTATGGTTGTGCTGTGCTCTAGGCAGGTATGTTGACATTGGGGGCAAGGGTGAGGTTAACACCATGAACAAATTTAGCCACTGGTGGTCACTCTCCTCACAGAGTTCACCTCTCCTCTTACATACCATAGTATAGACTGGGAAAGAAAGAACTTGGAACTCTTAACCTCAAAGAATTTACATCTACTTGAACAGCCAAGAGACACATCCCAAAGAACTAGGAACCCTTGTGTCAACACTTCAACAAACAAGCAGTCTGGATTCTGGGCTTGGGAGATACTCCCTTTCTTAGGGGTGAGTGTTGACAACTACAGTAGTGACAAATGAAGAAAGGTCTAACAGTCACAGAACCTAGTGGAAGGGAGTTCTAGGAAACAGGAATTGCTTCCTGGTTATGAACTGATCCACTTACTGGGCAAAGCTTCCATGAGACAAGGAGTTAAGCCAAGGAAAGTATTAAAAAAAAAAAAAAAATGCTCTTCCTCAGCTGGAAAAACTGAAAAAGCAGACACAAGGAAGAAGTGACCTCCACTGGAGCAGGGAAATCTCCCACTCAAGGCCTCATTTGTAATCAAGAGCAGAAAGGATCAAACTAATGTAAACAAGCCAGGGAAGCTAATGTGCCCTTCTCGGGAGAGGAGAAAACACACACTTCCCCCAGCATGGCCTCTGGAAAGGCAGAAGGTAGGTGTCAGCTTGGACAAAAGAGGCAGGCCGGGAGTTGGGGAATTCCCACACTGCTTTTAGGCTCTTTTGCTGTTCCCCGGCACTCACACAGGATTCACCAAAACTCCAGGGTACTGAGACCAAGGGGAAGGTGAAGCTAAGACTTTGCTGCTTAGAGGAAAATGCAGTTTGCCCAATTGGTGGGATAGGCTCTTACCTTTCCCACAGCAAAGTCCTCCCGAGAGAGACTCGGAATAACCAGGCCAGAGGAATAACACCACCCCCAAATCTGAGCACCTAGGCCACAATCCTGGAGGCTTCCCACACTCCTTCTTAATACCACTGCAATAAACAGCTGCCTGGAGAAAACAGTGGACCTTTGTCTATGCCTTCTCCTTTTTTAATTTATTTTATTTTTTGTTGTAGAGAATATACACAGCAGAACATACACCAATTCAACAATTTCTACACATACAATTCAGTGACACTGATAACGTTCTTCAAGTTGTGCAACCAGTCTCACCCTCCTTTTCCAAATTGTTCCTCCTCCATTAACATAAACTCACTGCCCCTTACATTTCCTAGCTAATCTTTCTAGTTGCTGTTGTCAGTTTGATCCCATATTGGTAGTTCTTAAAAGAGCACAATGCTCAAGTATGCCTTCTCTTTTAGACAATCTTGGAGAACCAAACAGGATAATCCCTTTAGAGGAATGGTTCTCCCAAATACTGGTCCACAGACAAAGGCCAGGATCATGACAAAAGTAAAGAAATTCCTACCTGCTCCATACTGGGCAGTAAGAGTCCTGTGCAGCCCCCACTCCTACCCCAGGCATGAAGCAGTGGCAGACAGGCCCCTGCTGCACCCTCTTGTCGTCTTTACCAGTCAGACAGCAGAGCTGCGACTGCTTTCTTCCTGGCCTGGCCACAGAACTGAAAGCCTGAGAATTGTTTTTATTCCCTTTTCTCTCCATTTACCACATTATTCCATACTGAGTGAAACTGTATCTATTGTTTACACTATTTTCATCAGTATACCTTCCAAGTAGACTGTCAACAATAATTGTGATAAAAAAATAAAGTATGAAACAGCTGTATAGTCAAGCTTCTCCTGATGCAAATAAAAATTGATAAACACATCAAGAAAAATAAAATGTTATGTAGTAATTTTTTTTTATTCAAAAATATTTAAAATCTAACCTAATTTTGGAATAGATGAGTATAAGGTCCTTTCTTAAGAAGGGCTGCCCTATGCCCTGTTTTAGTTCCCTGGGTGGCACAAATCGTTAAGCACTCTCAACTACTAGCCTAAAGGCTGGCAGTTCGAACCCACCCAGAGGCACCTCAGAAGACAGGCCTGGCAATCTGCTTCTGAAAGGTCACAGCCTTGAAAACCCTAGGGAGCAGTCTACTCTGCACACATGTGGTCCCGTGAATCAGAATTGACTTCACAGCAACTAACAACAACAACTTATCCTATTTTATTTATGTGTTTATTATTTTGATTTTCAAATGTCCTTTCTTATATGATGTGAAGGTAATAATAGGTTTGAAGTGTTTGTTTTCAGACTCCTTCCCTGGCAAAACTTTTTACTTCTTAAAGCCAGGAATCCTATGTTGGTCCTAAATATGGTGGGGGTGCGGGAACTGTTTGGTGAAATCCCATAGCCCTATAGTATGCTACACTTCTCTCATTTTCTTTCACTGAGGTAACTGATGGCAGATAAATTCAAGATCCACTTCCTCCAAACCACTACCAAGGACTAGATGTCAGGGCACAAAATTCCTTTTCCATGAAACAATGATAATCTAAGGAACTCGTGGTATCTTTCCCCTCAACTCCTCTCTCCTAGCCAGCATTACTCCTCTCACTAAATGCCTCCAAATAAAGTCTGGAGTTTTTTAGAACGATTAGCTGGACACCATAAGTCCCCTAATTTAATCCAGAATATTCCTCATTTTCCATGATATCTGCAAAAAGAGACATCACAATGTAGTGGAAAGGGCTTTGGAAGCAAACAACCTGGGTTCAGATTCTGGATCTTGGGCAACTTACTTGATCTGTGAGTCCTCTCTTCCTCCTCTTTGAGAAAATGAATGAGATTTATGAAAGTGCCAAGTAGTGAATGGCAAATAGTAGGTCTCCTGCACAGACTCAGTAATTCCTTGACAGTATTCTTTCCTGTTCTCCTTCAGAAGCTAGGCCCTTCAGAGACTTTTTTGAAAACAGAGAGCTGGAAAAAATGATATCAAACACAACATTTTCTCACAAGAATCAAAGTCATGCAGCTTTCCTTACCTTGCCTTGCTGGTTACATTCCCATGTCTGTCCTCAATTTCAGGGCATCTGTTTAATGGCATAAATCTCCCATTTCTCTCCCAAGAGCTGGAAGAATGAATTATTAGGTACCTCAGGGTTCGCTAAGGGCAAGGCTTTCAGCGTCATTCCGGAAAATATTAAAATGTGGAAAAACAGCTCATATCCCATCCCCTTGTGTTTCTGTGTAGTATCGAATCAACCCGTTGAAGGTTTCCTTTAGGAATTTCTTCAATCTGCTCTATGCAAACACTGAGACAGGTCTCTATCGCTGTGTGAATAAATGTTCCAAACAACTACTTTGCAAAAGGACAAAAAAAGTGTAATCAGTTTTTTCCAAACTATACAGTCTTACTTTACAGCACTTCTGTTCTAATCCGTATTAATGAAAGCCTCCCCATCATAAAAGCAAAAGAATTTGTACCACCAGATGGGTAGGAAAATGACTGCTGCCTTTTCTGGGACCATAGAGATTTGCAATAAGGGTGATTTAGTAAATGTATATGTTAAGTTTGATTTCATTTCTAAAAGTTTGTTTCAGGAAAATAAGTAAATCTGGTTTTATGAACATTTTCCCACCTTTGTGCTTCAGTATATTCCTCCCAGTTAAAGTCACCTTTCCCTTCCTCTCCACCAAGTCAAATCCTGCCAACCCCCCAACATCCATATTCTCCATGTAGCCTCCTCAAATCCTTTGGCTTACATGAGTTTTTACCTCTAAACCCTTGTCATTCTTTGTCTATATCAGATGTTTGCCTACTCTAATCTGCCTTGTGAATCCACTTATCTTTTGGTATTAATCTTTAGCTCTTTATTGTAGGTATTTTATGTCTCTCTGAGGGCAGGGTCTGTCTTCCAATCCCACAGGTTATGCCCTCAATGCATTTACTATACAGGAAACCAACCTGCTAACAGCTCCAAGGGACACATTGTCTCCTGCCCCTTATCCCAGTGTCTACCTCTTTTACATGATTAAAGATTTGCTCTCCCCTCCTGGATGGCTATTTTCAGGAAAACAGAAAATAACAAGTGTTGGCGAGGATGTGGAAAGACTGGAACCCTCATCTAATCTGTAAAATAGTACAGCAGTTGTAGAAAACATTTTGGCAGGTCCTCAAAAAGTTAAAGGTGGAATTACTTTATCACTCAGAGATTCCACTCCTAGGTATTGTTAAAGAAAATGCTACCTCCCTCTTCCCTCCCCATTTAAACTTAACTTTTAACCCTTCCCAGAAACTAAAAACTCCTGATAAAGACAGTTCTGGGAAAAGTTTAAATAATTAGATAAACCATAACTAGCCTATAGAATGCAGACATATAAACTTAATAAACCAATTCAAGCCACCTCCTGCCAATTAAGTGAATGACAACCAATCATTTTAAATTTCCCCTTTGGGAACTCTCCCGGAAGTTTGTACTGTAAAAAAGCTGATCAAAATTGCAATGTGATGCGTCCATTTCTCTGGAGGTGTACTCCCTGCTTTCAAACAGTTTTTTTTTTCTGCCCAGTAAAACCTTTTAACTCTAACTGACTTATTGATCAAATTTTTCTTTCAATGGTTCATACCCAAAAGACTTGAAAGCAGGGACTCAACACAGATACTTGTACACCAATGTTCACCACAGCATTACTCACACTAACCAAAAGGTGGAAACAACCCAAGTGTCCATCAACAGACGAATGGATAGATAAAACGTGGTATATACATATAAATATCATTCAGCTATAAAGAGAAATGAAGTTCTGATATATGCTATGACATGACTGAACTTTGAAAACAACATGCTAAGTGAAGTAAGTCAGACACAAAAAAATAAATATAGTATGATCCCACTTATATGAAATATCTAGAATAGGCAAATGCACAAGTGTAAAGTTTATCAGTGGTTATCGGGGCAGATGAAAGGGAGAAATGAGGAGCAACTTCTTAAAGGGCACTGAGTTTCTGTTATCGAAGGGAAAAAACATTGGAAACGGATGGTGGTGATGGTTGCACAACACGGAAAATGTGATTAACATCACTGAATTGTACAGCTTAAAATGGTTGAAATGGCCAATATTTTGTTATATTTTACTACAATAAAATTTTTAAAAATGTTGCTCTTTTTTACATAATCAAAGATTCATGATACACATTTTAACTTTTCTTGGGTCCTTCATAGTCTGTAGCTCAGGGCTTTACACTTGCTAAGCACGCCCATGAAACTGCTCAGTTAATCACTCGGTGCTGCTCTACCTGGAGGCTGTAGCACTAATCAGCTAGCTCTCCACAGACAGGCACAAATGGTGTGTACGTCAGGTACAAGCCACAGCCTAACAGAGAGTTTTCTCTCATTGTGCTAATCTTAACAAAAATCAAACCAGAATCTAGAATTTCATTTCCCTTATACAAAATCATTCCCAAAATAGGGAAGAGGATTTATAATTAGGTGATCATTAAGTAAATCACCATCACAAAATAAAAAATATATTAATTCCTTAACTCTTTATAATGAACATGAAATGAGATCTCAACAGACAGAAAAGAACTTCTCACAAATCTTGATAAGTACAAACAAAAGTCTGAAACTATGATAGGAGAATCAACAAGTAAACTCAGAAGAATGAATAAACAGGAAAAAGGCATAAGCAGTCAATGAAAAAGAAAAGCTTATGGTAGAAGAGGAGTGCATAGCTAATCCCTGTAATGGAATGCCTTCCTCAATAAATATGTGTTATCAAATTTACAGAATGACTGATACTGATTCTCAAGGGTTCTGAAACAAACTATCATGATGACTATGCAAGTACAAGCTGCAAAAGAAATAATAAAAACATAAGGTCATACTAAGTCAATGAATAGATGAATACAGTAAAAATAGAAATGATGCTACAGAAAAAGCTAATCAGAAAAAAAGATAAAAAATGCAGGAATATATATAATCAAGGAAAGAAACAGATTCAAAGAATGCACAAGATGATAACCATAAGAAGGAATACAGCTCAGAGAGCCACCCTATAAATAACAGAAGTCTTAGTTAAAAGTTTAATAGAAGCAAATCGTACAGAAATAATAGAAGGGTTTGACCCGAATACAAAAGATTTATAAAATTCAGAACAAAATTAACAACTGGGAACTAACACTACAGCATTCTCATATTTTTTAAGTATAAGGAAAATAAAAACCCTGCATATAGAAAAGACCCAAACCTGAATGCCTTCCAGTTTTGCAGAGGATACAATTAAGGCGCAGACATGTTTATAAAACTATTAGAGAAAGTATCTTTACCTCAAATTACTTAACAAGGTAAGTAGTTTCCTTGAACGAATGAGAAAGTGTCATTTAGATCTTGGCCTTAAGAAATTTACCCATCACATACCTCACTCCAAAATATGGCTGAGAAGACTTTAAAGAAGATTTAAATATTTAAGTTTTAAAAATAAGACCAAATAACCAAAGTTAACACTTCTTATTAAAGAGATAAATAAAACATTAAATAGGGAGAGAGTAGTAGTCATGAATAAATTATTAGTAAAAATATAACAAAGATATGTACAACCAAACACTTCATGGGATTTGGCTCCTTGGTTCAAAGGTTTAGGGTCATGGTTTCATGGGACATCCCAGTTAGCAGGCCTAATATGTTTAGTGCCTCTGTTCTACCTCCTAGTTTGTTGCATAATGCCTGGGGTCTTAAAAGCTTGCAAGTGGCCATTCAAGGCACAACAATTGGTCTCTATTCACCTGGAGCAACAGGGGAAAGAGGGCAGTCAGGAATAGGAGGAGGATATGGAATGTGTGGCTAATCACCTCCATGAACAACTGCCTCCTTTGCCATGAGACCAGAAGAAGTAGATGGTACCTGGCTACCATTACTGAGCATTTTGATCAAAGATTCCACAGAAGAATCCTGATGAAAAGGGGAGAAATGCAGAACAGAATTTCAAAATCTCATGGATTCTAGACTTTCTGGAGATGTAGCAGCTGGATGAATCTCCAAAACTATTGCCCTAAGATAATCTTTAAACCTTAAACCAAAAATATCCCCTAAAGTATTCTTAAAGTCAAACAGTAGTTTAGCTATACTAGTAAAGAATGTCTGCCTTGAGCATTATGCTCTTTTAAGATCTATCAATATGGGATCAAATTGTCAACAGTAACTTAATAGATTAGATAGGAACCTTGGGGGGCAATGAGATTATGTTAACATGGGAGAAACAACTCAGAAAAGGAGGGTGAGAATGGTTGCACAACTCGAAGGAAATAATCAGTGTCACTAAATTGTACATGTAAAAACTTGAATCACTGTATGTTTTTGTTGTATATAGTTTTTGTTGTATATATTGTCAACAACAACAAAATAAATAATAAATAAATACGTATCTACATAGATATATATACAGAGAGAGAGAAACATCTAACAAAGAGCAAAATATAACAAAGAGGCAACTGAGAACCTAGAAGGGAGAAAACCAGTATCAGAACACTAATATAAATTAACAAGTAATTTATACAATGTAATTAAATTAACATTTATAGAAGAGGAATATCAACCAAACAGGTGGCTCCTGATTAAAACATTGAACTTAAGTAAAAGACATCTTTGAGACAATTGAGGACATGTAAATATGGTCTGGGTAATAGATGATATGGGGACAGTGATGGGGGCAGTAGTAAAATTCTCTCTTTCCATGAGGCAGACCTGGGTTCAATTCCCAGCCAATGCATCTTATGCACGGCCACTACCCACTCCTCAGTGGAGGCTAGCATGGTGCTATGATGCTGAACACGTTTCGGCAGAGCTTCCAGACTAACACAGACGAGGAAGAAAGGCCTACTTCTGAAAAACAGCCAATGAAAACCCTATGGATCACAATGAGTGGACATTTCATTCCATTGTGCATAGGGTTGCCAAGAGTAGGGACCAACACAAAGGCAGCTAGCAATAGTATATGATATTCAGGAATTATTGTTAATTTTGTTAAATGTTATAATGGGAGAGGTCATATATTTTCAAAGTCCTTATCAGTTAGGCATGCTTTCTGAAATATTTATGGGTAAAATAACACAATGTCCAGGAATGAGGGG